TCTGGGACAAGTGGCCAAGAATGTGTGGCTGGGCCTGACTGTCAATCTGCTGTCTCTCCTCCCAGTTCTGAAGGTTTTTACTTCCTGTGTCAAGGCGTCTGTAGTTGGTGCATGCATATTTAAGACTGTTTTCTTGGTACTGAATCTCTTGCTATGTAACATCCTGTCTCTAGCTTGCTTTGTCCAGAAGACTAAACATCAGATGTCATCCATCACTGATTTATTTTCTACAAGTGTATACAAATTTCTTTTCAACCTTTCAGTTGTGAATGTCTGTGGACTTGATGCTTTCTTCCACGCTGCATGTCATTTCATCTTTTTATCCATTCTGCCAGGTTTCACTTTGGTATACTTAGATCATTTACATACAGTGTTTTGAGATAGGGTCTTGATATGTGGTCCAGCCAGCCAGGATCTTTTTCTTGCCTCAGGCTGCAGTGCTGGGATTACAGGCATGAACCACCACACCACGCTCTGACATGTTAGCTGTTAAATCTACCATTTATCTTCTGTTTGGTTCATGTTTTTCTCCACCCTTTTTGTTTGCCTCCCTGTAGGTTGCTTGAGCAATTTTTAGCTTTACTTGAACAATTTTGTCTTGATTTCTGGGTGCCATTTTAAAAAATGGACATAATTTATACACCATAAAATTCACTCCTTGAGCATAAAATTCAAAAAGGCTGTGCAACCATCGACAATTCTAGAACATTTACATCACTTCCCACAGAAATACTGCACCTGTTGTACCACTTCCCTCCTCTCAGCAGCCCCAAGCTCCGGCCATCTCTCTACATCGCCCCCTGGGGGTTCCACATCTATGAGCCTACACTCTGGGCTTTTGTGTCTGGCTCTTCCCGAGAGGCGTGTGCGAGGCTCATCCAGGCTCTAGTCCCTGCCTGCCTTTCACTCCCTTCTGTGTGTGGACGCCGGTCCTCGCACATTCCTTCCATGTATGGACACCGGTCCCAACATGTCCCTTCCGTGTGTGGATACTGGTCCCTACATGGCCTCCCCACAGGGGCTTATTGCCTGTCTCTTGATGGATATTTGGTGTTGGTTTTGGCTTTGACGAGTACTGCTCTGGGAATTCATGTGAGTCCCTTTGTGGACGTTTTCAGGTCTGCTGAGTAGATCCTAGGACTGTCTCCGCTAATATGCTGTTGAATTTGTGGAGGAACTTCCAACAAGTTTTCAGAAAAGACTGCATCATTTTATATTTGAACAATAGTGTATGGATATTCGTCTGGAAGGTGGCTTAGTGGCCGAGTGTTTGCCTAGCATGCATGAAGCCCTGGGTGTGATTCCTCAGTACCACATAGAGAGAAAAAGCTGGAAGTGGTGCTGTGGCTCAAGTGTAGAGTGCTAGCCTTGAGCAAAAGCAGCTCAGGGGCAGTGCCCAGGCCCTGAGTTCAAGCCCAGGAATGCCCCCACCCCCAATAATGTATGGAGATTCTAAGTCTTCAACATCTGGTGATACTTCTTTTTCTCTTCTAAGTAACTGCATTAGCTATCTGGTGGGTGTGAAGCGCCTGACTAATATTCATAGTCACGTGGAGCACCCTCAAGCGTGTGGATCGCCTGTTGACGATTCTTCACTGTGGCGGAATCTGTGCAGACTCTGCTGGCTGAATGTCTGGCACGCAACCACCGCCTCAGCACCTAGGGCTTCGGGCGGCAGCAGTGGGAGGTGACTGAGGCCAGGATTTTAAGACTTGTCTGGGCAACATAGGGAGACTCTGACTCAAAAAGAACCACCATCTATTTAAAAAGCAGATTATCAGGGCTGCAGATGGCTCACTGATAGAGCTCTTGCCTAGCTGTTGAGATGCTGGGGTCTCATCCAAGCACTAAGGCATGGGCCGGCACGCACACACACACACACACACACACACACACACACTTAGGTCATTGTCTTAACTGGTTAAGAACTTTTTTTTGGTGCCAGCCTTGAACGCAATGTTTGGGTGCTGTTGCTATGCTTTTGTGCTCAAGGCTAGCACACTACCACCTGAGCCATAGCTCTCCTCATCGGCTTTTTGGTGGTTCACTGGCGGTAAGTGTCATGAGCGTTCCTGCCTCAGCTAGCTGTGAAATACAGTCCTCAGATCCCAGCCTCCTGAGTAGTGAGGATTACAGGTGTGCGCCTCCAGCACTGGCTATGTTTCTATGCCAGGCACTGGACCTGCACTGGGTGTAATCTGAAAAGGGTGCCCCTGTTGTCTTTTCACCTTCTTGCTGGTATCCCCTGAAGCACGCAATTGTGAAGTTTGTTGTAGTCCAGGATTTGCTCATTTTTTGTCTGTATTGTGCTATCATATCTCCCATCCAAGTACTAACCAGGCCCGACCCTGCTTGGCTTCCCAGATCAGACGAGATCGGGGGCATTCAGGGTGGCATGGCCGTAGACTTGTGCTATCATATCTAAAAGTATTTTGCCTAACTCATGACTATAGACGCCTTGCTCTTATGGTTTCCCTAGTTTTGTACTTGTAGCTTTTTTTGTTGTTGGTGGTGTGGGACTTGAACTCTGGCCTGACCGCTGTCCCTGCACTCTTCAGCTCAAAGCTAGCGGTCTACCACTTGGCCTACAGCACCACTTCGGTTTTCTGGTAGTTTATTGGAGATAAGAATTTCACGGACTTTCCTGCCTGGGCTGGCTTTGAACCGTGATCCTCAGATCTCAGCCTCTTGAGTAGCTAGGATGACATGCATGAGCCACTGGCTCCCGGCTGTACTTGTAGCTTTTACACATAGGTCTTAGTAAATCTGATAACACAACTTGAATCAGGAGTCCAAATTCAGGGCATCCCAGCAACATTTGCTGAAAAGACATTTGTTTCCTTTACCTAACTGTCTTGATACTCATGGAAACAACAATCATGCCAGGCACAGTGGCTCATGCCTGCAATCCTCACTACTTGGGAGGCAAAGACCAGGAGCATCATGGTTTAAGGCCAATTGGCGCCAAAAGTTCTTGAGAACCCAAGCTGAGCAATAAAAGCTGGGCTACATAGAGCATGCCTGTCACTCCTGCTACACAGGGAACATAAATAGGAGGATCATGGTCCAGGTGGGCCTGGGCATTGATACATAGCACCTATTAGAATAACTATAAGCAAAAAGGGCTGGGGGCGTGGCTCAAGTGGCAGAGCACTCATACAGCAAGTGAAAGACCCTGAGTTCAAACCCTAGTACTGCCAACCACAGCAGCAACCAGTTCTTCAGACGTCTCTCAGCTGCTCATGCTGCGGACTCTTCCTCAGCTGCAGCTGCCACACACCACTGTTCAGTCCTGCAAGGCACATGGTAAGCACAGCAGATTCAAGTCACCGGACCCTGCCTGCGCTTCTGCGTCCAGGGCTCCTCACGGACGCACTGAGGTCAAAGCCCTGTGGGACGGGGAAGGGCACAGGTTTACTGAGGCCGAGGACAGTGTAAGATGTGTGACAATGTAAGTGGCTGGTTTGAGATCACTGACCTGCCAGCGTCACACAGGGGCTGTCAGCAGCTGCAGTGAGGCCAGAGAATGTGGTGAAGATTCAGACAAAGGCCTCCTGGCACACCTGCCGCCACCCACGGCCCGATGCTCCCCAGACCCCACGCAGGGGCCAAGCCACGGTGGCTGCTCACTCAGAACAGGCGCCTGCTTGGCAAGCACTTATCCCTGCAGGCTGTGCAAGGCCCCGCGTCTCTCCAGCCGGGAGCAGCCCTGTCCTCTCCACCTGGCCCTGATACAGACCGAAACCAGTGGACTTGCTGGGAGAACTCCAGCTCTGAATTTGGTGGTGGAAAATCAATGAACCCTTCTCTGTATATCACCCTTACAATAAAATACAATAAAGTTAAAAATCCATGCGTCCATTGAGTTCCCTAGGTTCACGCCTGTAATTCTAGCAACTCAGGAGGCTGATATGTGGATCACAGGTAAAGCTACTTCATGAGACTCTTATCTCCACTATACCAGCCAATAGCCAGAAAGGTAGCTGTGGATCAAGCACCAGCCTTAAGCAAAAAAGCTGAGACAGCACCCAAGGCCCAAGTTCATGCCCAGTACCAGCACCAAAACAAAAATCAACAATGAGTCCAAAGCCCAGATTTTGAGATCATGCAGAAAGTGCTTTGGCCTGGGCGCGGGGGGGGGGGGGGGGGGATGGACGGGACACCAGCAGAGCCAACAGGTCTGAAGATCACGCCTGAGGGCCGCAGGGGCTGAGCGCCAGCGGCTCATCCACAGCAGCGTCTCAGTGCTCTTGGAAGGGTCTGCACTCACAGAATGGGAAGATCTATCTGGAAACTCTTGGCCAAGGGTGCCATCTCTGACAAGACCTTTTCCTGCTGTGAGGCGTCTGGAGATCAGCGTCCTCATGCACACTGTGACTCAGGGTGGTGCAGCGGGCACTGCCTGCTGCCCATCACACTCAGCACACGTGCCCACAGCTCCAGCACCCTGACGCCGCCAGCCAGGCAGCCCTGTCAACTCTGCTGGGGCTTGCCATACACTGGTGTCAGACCTATGGGCGCACAGCTGCAGGCTCCTGGGCTGTTATGGAGCCTGGCCGTGAATTCTAAATGACACCAGCAATGGGATGGAAAACTCATTACACTGAGATGCTGCCACTCCACTGAACCCGGTGCGAGGCCTGCCAGTGGGTCACCCTTAGGTCCAACGGACACCACTCCTCACGCCAACCAGGAAAGCCTAGTCTACCCTCCTCACCTGCTGAGTCTCCAAGTCAGGTAAGTCTCATAGACAGAGACTGTATAAACTAAGAAAAGCAAGCTGGACCCAGCGGATAGCAGACAGGGCTGCAGAGGTCTAGGGAGACTGGCAGTTAAATCTGAGTGTCAGGCAGATGGGGGGGAGGGGGGAGAGTAAGGGAGGGACTGCAGAGGTGCAGAGAGACTGGCAGTTAAATCTGAGTGTCAGGCGGGGGGGGGGAGGGGACTGCAGAGGTGCAGAGAGACTGGCAGTAAAATCTGAGTGTCAGGCAGGCAGCAAATGAAACCAGACAGACATTTATTTTGCATTTGATTTCACTGGCTCAAATGTCTAAATGCCAGAACAATCCACTTCCTCTCTTCAAGGCTCTTCCTCTGAAGCGTATCAACCTGACCACGCATGGCACATGCTGGGCCTGGCGCCTGGCCCTCCATGGCTGGGGGGCGGGGAGGGGCTTGCTCCCAGGGCCTGACACCCAGCCAACTCGGGATGGCCACAGCTCAGTCTCGTGGCATCAGACACGGGGCGGTCTCCCAAGGCGCCTCCTGTCTCTTGCAGGACAGGGCTCTGAGGCTCTGATAGGCAGCCACAGGCCCACGCTCATGCCCACCGCAGGACCCCCAACCCCGGCTGGCCTGAGCCCCAAGCCCTGCCTTTTATTTTTATCATCCAGATCTAGCTTCCAAGGGCTCCAAAACATCCTCGCCACATCTGGACATGAGAGCAGCAGCTGTTTAGGGGCTGCCTTCTGCTGCACTCGGAGAGAATGACTAATGTGTCTTTCAGTTTCTTTGTATTTCTCTTCAAGAGTTGCTTGTGTCTGCTCTATACAATGAAAATACAAACTAAATGAGAATAGAAAAAAATAATTAAAGCATTCAATTGTACAAATTACAAATCTGTTCCAAAATATACTTACATTAAATAAAATACGCATTTCAGTAAGATCTACAGTGAATGGCAATGCATTCTGGGAAGCTTCACATCTAGGCAGGGCCAACCTTCATGGAGGAAGCTAAGAGAATGTGCATCCAATCTCAGTTTGCAGCGGGTTTCTTATTGCCAATCTGCGAGTTACACTGAACACATCATTACATCACTTGTGCAGGGACCGGTTCGGTTGGGAAGGGGAAGCAAGCGCTAGCCTCAGGGTTGAGCTCATGACAACTTCTGAGAAGTCTCGCAGGCAGCCTAGACAGCACAGCTTCAGGAGTAAACATGGTAAGGGAAGCAGACAGCTCTCTAGAGGCCCAAAGGCTTTCTTGCTGTATTTGTGTTCATCCGCCATCTACAGTTGGAGTCAGGAGGACGGTCGTCTTCGGGACAACGTGGTCACAGGCCTGGGGCGACCCCGTGGGCAGAGGGAGTGTGAGGACGGGAGCAGGGCTACCTCGTGCTGTTCCGCATTAGACACGAGCTGTGACACAGTCCACGGGCCCGCAATCCTCTCCTCCTATCATCTGGCGTAACGCTTGATGTAGTCGTCCACTTTACTCCGGAAGTCCTCCTGTGGAGGGAGAGGGTGGGAGAGGGAGTGAGGGCTCCGCGCGAGGACTGGTGTGTCACCACGGGGTGACAGAATGGCCGGAGACGGCTGGGTCCAATGTCACATCCCCGCGACTCCACTGCGAGCGTAGGCGACAGGCGGCGCGGGCGGCGGAGGCTCACTTGGCAAGCGTGGAAGGAATGCCCAGGGACCCCAGGCTTCTGACTACAGAGACCCCGCTTTCCAATCTAGCTTCCCCAGACCCTGCCTGGACCCTGCCCAACTGCAGCGTGCCGCTGCCCCAGCTCAGGCAGCCACGGCCCCCGTCTGGGAGAAGGACTTGTGTCTTACAGCTCCGACCTCGCGCAGACCACCCAGAGGCCAGCCAGGCCACAGACAGCAGGAACCCGCGACTCCACCAGACCAGCAGGGAAGGAAAGTTCTGGAGGCCAGGAGGCACATGATCACAGGACTGAGCCTGAGTGTCTGGAGCTCCCGATCCTCTCACTGTGCAGCTGCCCCACAGGGAGCGGCTCGGGCAGCTGTCAGTCCTTCCGGGCCACAGCCCCCACCTGCTGGCCGCGTCCACTCGGCCCACGCCCCACCATGGAGGCGCAGGCTGGGCTCAGGGCCGGGGGCTGCTCTGCTGGGCTGAGCCCACGCACCAAGGCCTCTGCCATCTCTGCCTCAGGCACGCCTCCTGCCACCCTGAGTTAACGCAGACCCTGCCGAACTCGGATCCGTGCCGGGTTTGCAAGCTGGGGGTGGGGGGGTGCTGCAGTGTGTGTGTGTGGGGGGGGGAGACACTGTGTAGAAAGTTCCCACGCAAGCTGTTCACCCACAAGGAGGGAGGGGGGGTGGTGTGTGGGTGTGCACGCGCGTGCACTGAACAGGGGTTGGGCTTTATGGAAACTAACTGCCCTGCAGCAAAATATCCAAAGGTCACATCCACAGCCTCCAGGCAGGCAGTCCGCCTGCTCACAGGAGCCAGCACTACAGCTCAGGCCCCAGAGCACACACCTGGCAGACCTGAGGCTGATGGGAAGCGGCCTGCGCAGCTCAGTTGGTGAAGCCCAGCTCCCAGGCCACAGGACTAGGTGTGTTCCGGCCCTCTGCCCTCACTTCCGCTCATACTGCCAGGGCCACATAGGTTCCCTGATTGCTTTTCTTCTTTCCTTCTTCTCCTCTGCTGCTTCTTCTGCGTTGTTCATACTAGTGATTGAACCCAGGGCCTGGTGCTTGCCAGGCTGGCACTCTACTAGGTAAGCCATGCTTCTGGCTCTACTTTTTGCTACTTATTTTGGAAATGGAGTCTGAGACTTTTCTGCCCAGGCTGGTCTTGAATAATGAACCTTCATGTCTCAGCCACCTAAGTAGCTAGGATCAGAGGTGTGAGCCGCTGGTGCCTGGCTGTTTGCCTACTTATTTTTATTTTTGCCAGTATCAGTATTTGAGTCAGGGCCTTGAGTTTGCTTGTTTTGCTGGCACTCTGTCCTTTGAGCCATGCTGCTAGCTCTGCTTTTTGCCGGTTATTTTGGAGATGGAGTCTTGTGGACTTTTCTGCCTGTGTTGGTTTCAAACCTCCACCTTCTAGAGCTCTGCTTCCTGAGTAGAATCACAGGCATGAGCATTTTCTACCCTGTTTGTCTTCTTGAAATAGGCATTTTACTGGAGACACCCGGACTCACTTGAAGTTAGCAAGACAGAGCTCTGCACACAGCAGTGTGAAAGTGACTGACTGTGCACAGGCTCATCCCCCAACACACTCTGAAACATTCAAATGAAACCCAAGCGGTCCCATGTGAGAATGGCTCCAAGAGCCAAGTTACTGGCAGTGAATGCATGTCTAAATAATGGCCTACAATCTGTGCAGATTCAGAAGGCAGAGCACTAGTGTCCATCCCCAGGGAGGGCACAGAAGCCTGGTGGCATGCAAGGGGCTTCTCCTGCAGCCCAGCGGAGAAAGCACACACCAAAAGCTGCTCAAACAGCTGCATCCTCTCTGGCCCAGAGACTCCTCTAGAACAAATGCACCAGGATTGAAGGGTGCACCTACAAGAGGTATTTGCGGAATTACTGTGTGTAGCGGGAAGTCATCCTGTGGGAAAAACCTGAGTGCTCATCACGAAGCGAAGGGCTGATGAATGAGTGGACCTCAGCACTGACTCTGGAGGGAAGGTCAGTAACCGTCATGAGAAAGGGAACTAAAGATCCAGAGGGTTGCACCGGAGGCCGGACGCCACACTTCCTTCCCTCCCCGCTCCCTGGGCCACTGTGGGGGTTTGTTTGGTGTATCTGCAGGCTGGGGCCAGAGCCAGGTGTCTCACACACGCTGTGACAAGCACAGTGGCCTGTGGGCTGCACGGCCAGCCCTCTGCTACCGTTTATAAGGCAGACGAGTAATTGCCTCGTTTCAGTTACTCAGCTGCGTTTTACGAGAAGCACTTCTCTGTGACTGTTCAGAGCACACCACCCTGGAGCACGTGTGTGCAAGCTGCTTAAAGCCCTGGCTCCCCAGTGAGCCACTGCTCGCTCGCTGCTCGCTCACCTTGTCCCGCAGGTGATGCTCTGCAGCTTCGATGTTCAGTGGGTCGTCAAAGTTCAGAAGATCCTTTAAAAAGAGAAACCCAGGTAAGCCCAGGAAGAACATCCATTTCTGGCTAAGTTTTCATTTTACAAAAGGCAGCAACAGAAATTGTGGTTCCTCTCAGAACGTAAGTAACTTTGATGTAAGCGAGAGTACTGCCGGCATGTTTTCAGAGCGGAAGGGAGACTCATGACCAGAGAAGCCAGGAGTGCTTTACGAGTCTCTATCAAAGTTCTGGCGGCGCTGCAGCACAGCAGCGACCCAATTTGATCCATGGTTGGCACTCGGGAGTACTTCCAAATAAAAGTCATCAAAGCAAGACTTTCCCCTCCTGTGAGCACTCCACACTCTGCACCTGGGTGTGCTCTCTTCTGGTCTTGACTGGCTCTCCCCATCTTCTGACTCTCTTCACAGACAGCCCCTGGGGATGCATCAGGGCAGCACCTCGAGGTGCCTCGGTCCCGTCCCCCTCGGGAGGCCACCCCTGCCTGCCTGCCTGCCTGCCTGCCAGTCCTGCCGGACAGCCAGGCCCCTGCGACTCGTGCCTGCAGGGTGCGAATGTCTTCAGCGGTGGCGCTGCGACGCCTGCAGGCAACCCTGCTCTCCCGGGAAACCTCACGACCTCCGGGGACTCCAGAAACCTCACGACCTCCGGGGACTCCAGAAACCCTCACGCCCTCCGGGGACTCCAGAAACCTCACTGCCTCCAGGGACTCCAGAAACCTCACGACCTCCAGGGACTCCAGAAACCTCACGACCTCTGGGGACTGGAGTACGCACTTGGAAGGACACTCAGGTGGGACGGACATCACAGACACAGCGAAGACAAACTAAATCTGTATTCATTCACAGTTGGAAAAATCTCACGGCAACTCTTAGAAATTGGCAAAGTCACCAAGTACAGCACCGTGGCTCACACCTGTCATCCCAGCTACCAGGAAGCTAAGGCCTGGAGGAGCAAGGTACACGGCAGCCTAGACACAAGAAGTTTAAAGACTCCATCTCCAATTAACCAGCAAAATGCTGGACTGGAGGTGTGGCTCAAGTGATAGAGCACCAGCCCTGAGCAATGAAGCTGAGAGGCCCTGAGTTCCAGTCCTGATACCATGCAATACCTAGCATAGCTCACACGACTTTATGTTCCTTATCTTCTTTACCATATGCCTGCCCTCAAGCGGACATATGGATTGCAATACCCACTGCAGACTTAACTGGAACCTCTGACTTGCCCTAGGGATTGGTAAGCTTTGGGGCACCAGACACCCCCAAACAAAAGAAGCCCAGAGTCACCTCTCCCCATTCATCCACCAGTAGCCAGTGGCGGTCAAAACCCACGCATGGTTGTGGAGAAAGCTGGGGTGCACAGCCAGGCTCCGGAAGGCTCCTCCACCATGCTGCAGACGCGGCTGGCCCTCAGGGACAAACAGAGGCCACCCAGGCTCAGCAGGGCAGAGCGGTGGCTGCTGGCTCTGCCCTGGGACGTCCAGACTCACTCCACCCATCAGCCCAGGCCCGCAAGCCCACACCAAACCAAGCCACCACCACTGCCCCCCACCCCAACCCCTTAGCGTCCACCCCTGGGGCCGGGAGAGCCAGAAGCCGCTGAAGTGTGGCTTTCTTGGCTGGTGGGCAGGTGCCACCCAGACAGTCCAAATGACAATGCAAAGGCAGAGACTCCGGTTAGCCCCGCACTCAGGGAGGGAGAGGGAGAGGCGTCTCCCAGGGACTGCAGGGCAGGCAGGCTTTCTGATTCACGGCCAGCTCCCTGAAGCTTAGTTCTTTAAAAACTCTCAGCCAGGTGGCCAGTGGCTCTCACCCCCCCACGCCCGTCCTCCTAGCCACTCAGAGAGGCTGAGATGTGAGGACTGCAGTTGGAAGCCAACCCAGGCAGGAAAGTCTGTGAAACTCTTACCAACCACCAACCACCAAAAAGCAAGAAGTAGAGCTGGGGCTCAAATGGTAGAGCATCAGCACGCAAAAAAGCTCAAACAACCAAACAAAAAAAACCTCTCACCAAAGTAATAGCCCCTTCCTGCCCTACAGAGCCTGGTACAGAACAACCCTGAGGCTTCACAGGACCCGCGGCCGCACCCAGGGCACAGGCCGGCGGGCAAGCAGCACCGGTGGGCAGCTGGTGGGGCACAAGCGGGGCTCTGCTCCCCCTCCGCCCCAATAACCCCCCACTGGTCATCCACAGTGCTGACGGCAAGGACGGTGTGGCCCCGGTTTACACCTCAGGTGATGTTCAAACCGTCAGCCAGGAAAACCAAGGAACCTTGGGATTTTGATAGACATACTTACAGTAAATAAAGAGTTTAATCCCCAAACAACATCCTGAAATAAGAAAGAAAACAATTTTCAGCTTCCCGTGGACTCAGCTCATGGCCAGAAACAAGGCAGCGCGCAGCCTCAGACGCGTCCTCAGCACAGCCGCTCTTCTCCAGACAGGAACTGAAAACCGCTTTCCTTCAAGGACAACACGCCAGGAAGCTCAGGAACAGGTGTGCGACTGGCGGGGCCCTGGCGGAGCCTCCAGCCCCCCGGGGGAGGGGGCAGGCAGTGAGAGCCCCTTCCCTCTCCCCCCCCCCCCCCGGCCACAGACTTTGGAAAAGGACCTGTAGAACAAAGCCTGCTGGCTGGGCGCTGACTCCTAGCCACTCAGGAGGCTGAGACTGAGGACTGCAGTTCAAAACCAACCCCAGGCAGAACGGTCATCTCCAATTATCTACCAAAAAGAAACAAAAACTACAAAGCCAGAGTTGTGGCTCAAGTGGTAGAGTGCTAGCCTTGAGCAAAAAAAGCGCAGAGACCTGAGCTCAAGCCCAGGATGGGTACCAAAAAACAAATTAAAAATTACAGAAAACAAAAATAAAGCAAAACTTGCTATTTGTAATGCCAACTGCATTTGGGGGCTGTAGATAAACTAGTCCCCCCTCAAGTCTTCTAGTTTTGCTCTAGTTACCTCAAAAACCAAGGGATGGACAACATTTCCAGGACTGAAAACTTCATTAAAACAAAATGTGTCATTCCATCACAGACTGGCAGGCTGCGACTCAACCACGAGCCCGCTCCATCGCCCGCCCCAGCGCCCGCTCCATCGCCCGCTCCATCGGCGTCCTGTCCCCTCTGAGGCTGCTCCTCACTCCTCTGTGTTCTCAGCTAGTAGTTACCTGTTCTGTTTCTTCCCATCATCCACCCCTCCGTTCATCCACACACCCGGCTCCGGCCCAGGGCTCAGTGTGGTGGGGGCTGGGCAGATGGGCGTGGCGGGGCTCAGGCTCACACACAGCCCTCCTTGCTGGGGGCAGAGGCTGGAGGGAGGCCTGCGGGGTGCAGCAGAGGGCTGCGGGAGGGGAGCGCCTTCTGGGCAGAGGGGGGCGCTGAGGGCATGGGGAGAAGCGGGAGAGTCAGGGTGGGCTGCCCCTGCGGCAGAGGCCTCAGCCCAGGAGGTCTCACGTGGTCAGCACATTCTGACCCTGGACACAGGCCCACAGATTTCATGCACTGTTTTCCCAAGATGCCTGTTTGGTGACAGTCCTTCAGACAGGGTCACAGCACAGCTAGCTGCGCATGCTCTCGTGCTGTCTCCTGGAGGGTGTTTAGCCCTGGCCAACAGCCCTCATCTAACCAGGTCTGGACGGGCCCAAGCTCGGCTGAGCGGCCCCGGGTGGCGGGTGTTGGGGAGACAAGGGCCAAGGGTGTGCCTGGCCACCTGTGTGGACACACCTGGCGTGGGCACACTGCCTTCCCAGGAGTCCGCCTGCCTGAGCAAGGGGGGGACTCGGTGCCAGAGATGCCGCTTACCTTGAGCGTTCTGGTGGGAGCCCAGCCGGTGCCATCGATAGAATGCTCTCTCAGCAAACTGAAACAGACACAAGAATGCCACGGGTCTCATGTGTGCGGCAGGGCGCTTCAAACCCTGCACGGTCCCGAGGGCTCCGCAGTGTCCACGTCTTTGTTTATGAACAGGGGAGATGCAGTTCTGAAACTGACTTCTCCTCAGTGTTTCTGTTCCCTGTCTGCTCGAAGACGGCTTTCCCCACCTCACCTCCGAGGGAGGCACACGCACGGCAGTGATCTGTTATTTTTCTTCTTCTTTGTGCAGACACCCTTTTTTGTGACGTGGGTGTTCTAAGCAAGTCCAGCCACAGTGGAAATGACAAGAGCACTGACTGGCGTGGAGCGGTGGGGAGGGGGGGAGGGAGCTGGGTGAATGGCTCACCCGAGCTTTGGCTGAGCTTCCTCTGAGCCACCTCGGAGGGATTCCTTGGAGGGTCCCTGGTTCATTTTAGTGCCCAGTTTTTCAAAAAACAGAAGGTGAATGGAGGAGCAGAAAGGTGCAATGCCTACAGGCCTCTGATCATATAAAATATTATTTATCAAAATGAAAAACCCAACTCAAGAGGAGGTGGACACTGGGTGGCTCAGGCCAGTGAGCCTGGCTGCTCGGAAGGCTGAGATCGGAGGATCATGGCTTGAGGTTCAGGCAGACAAACCCCAGAGGCTTATCTCCAATTAACCAGCAAAAAGCCAGAAATGGAGGTGTGGTTCAACTAGTAGAGTGCCACTGAGCCCTGAGCACAGAAGCTGCGTCCAGGTAGGAATGAAAAGAAAAAAAGAAAGGGAAGGGGGAAAAAAACCCAAAAGGGAGATCATTAGCAGATAAATGCACAGCTTGGAGAGGACGTGGCCACAGAGGAGCGGTGTGTGCTTCTCCAGCTCCTCATGTTGGACCTGGACACTTGGACTCCAGGGAACAGAGCTCTAGACTGCAGGGGGGTAGGGGTGGGGTGCTACTCCAACTTTACCAAAGTGGCCAGGCCTCATGAGCGCAGGAGGGAGGGACACTCACCTCAGACATATCTCCCCTGTCTCTGTGATGTTAGGGTGCCAGATCTTGGTCAGACATTTCACTTTGGGAGGCTGCAACACAGAGAGAGGTCAGGATGAGTGTCTGTGCACAGAGCGCCTTTACACACACACACACACA